AAACCAGTAATTGGTGGAACGCCATGAGGTTCTGTGCTGGGTCTTAAACTTTCTATACTGAACGTAAATGAACTCACCAGTATAGTTTATTCCCAGATGCTACTTTACCTTGATGTCAAAATCTGACGAAAAATAACAGAAGACTCGGGTGCAAGTGCAATTACAATGGATTTAGATGTTCTGATCAGCTGGTTTGAAAAATGACTGATACTTATCAACGTGACCAAGTGTGTCTACATGCACATTGAGAATGAAAAGGTAAATAGATACACTATAACGGAAGAGTCATTGTCCGTAGTTGCTTCTCAAAATGATCTTTGGTTATTGGTGAGCCACAGTTTTATGACCACAGTGTATTACGGCGAGTCTCAGCTAAGTGCTCTACAACCACGTGGGCTTGAGGATGAACATTCACCAAAATAGGCACGATTATATTCGCTACAATATAGAAAACCTTAGTGAGATCCGAACTTGAAAACCGTGTTCAGTTTGCAAGATACTGTTTCAAGGGTGACTCGAGTATCGTGGGAAAAGTACTGAAGACAGCTACTCGTGCTGTTGCAGACCTCCGATGTTTACCGTAAAATAGCGGCTAGAGAAGTTGCCTCCATAACTTTTCCTACTGCAGATGAAGAGGTGATATGACTTTGAAGTGTAGAATACTGAGAAATGATTTTGGATCCGATACATACTCTCTTCTCTCTCCTTATAGATCGGGATAACTCAGAGGACGTGGCAGGAATGTACAGAAACTAGAAACTATCAAAATACCAGTGGTATATTGGTTTTCACACTGAGTTATCAATTGTTGGAACCCGTTTACTGAAGACTTGATGTTCGGACCTTAAATTAACTCGTTCGAGGGAAGATTAGACATCCTCATAAGCTTGCTAGAAGAGGAATAACATCGAGTTTCTGTGTTCAATGAACAAATCTGAAACTTAACTCAAGACCTTACGGAATCATATCAGTGGGATACTAAATTCAGTTTTCTCGATAGACTGCTAACACAGTAACTCGGAAATGTCTCCATCTACAAGTATTTAGGTTTAAGGAAATCACTCAGTTTATACTAAGTGATAACAAAGACATTGGATATTGGATTAGGAAGTTGATTCAAACAGTCTACTAAAACGTCGATCTACCTCCGGCGGGCTCGAGAACTTTCCTGTGACGGTGAGTTGCTATTTATTTTTGGCTTACGGTTGCAAGGCTTTTAAATAGTGAGATTTAATTCAAGATGCTTAAAGCTCAATATGATGTTTTCAAATATGAAGCAAAGCAAATATTTTGTCTGTGTGTAATCTGTTTCAAAATGGGTGGTCACCGTTGTCAAATTAACTGACTTTTGTGTAAAATTTATTTAAGGTGAGTAAATACTGTATTATGAGAGAAATAAAAAATACAGCCTTGATATACTTAAGGCTATCAATTCCGACGGGTATTCCTCATAAACCCTGACTTGATAAGAAACGTTCGAGTAGAAAACCTGCACAAGGTTGGTGTTCCTCTGCTACATCATTCAGTTACAGCCTCCTAATTAAGACCTGTTAATCTACATAGTCGAGCACCACCGCACGGCTAATAGTTACGATTATGGTTGGGTTTCGTTAGGTGTCTGTGTGTGCCTGAGACCAGTCCGGTTTTACTGGGTTTACTCATTATTAGCCATATTTAAGCCTGGATGGTCAATGAGGCAAATATTTTGGGCATTATTAGTCATACTTACTCCTGTATGGCTATCACTAGGTGATTTTCTTTGTAAACTAGAATGATCAAGACCAGCCAAATAAAATTTCATCTAGTTTCCAAACTAGCTAGGATCTCAGTCGATTTAACAGCTTGGTCTAGACCAACATGCCTAAAGATCTTGGGGTTTAGTCCATCACTGTTCTGGCCATCGAGTTATTGTCCCATATGTTCTCACTAACTTAAATTTATATTACGTTTCGTCGGCAATTCTGAGATTCGACCTGACAATTTCATCTCATTGTGCTATCGGAGTGAGTCATCTTAAACCAATATACATACGTACCAGGCTTCATGTCGTGACTAGCTGGCTTGATGATTCTGACATTTTACTGTTGCTTATCACCGCCAACTTTCTCATCGCTTTTTTTCACCTGCTCACTGTTGCTTTAGATCTTTGCGTAAACTGTTTTACATTTTACGTTCAAGTCCCGCTCTTTCCCCGTCGTGTTTGAAGTCAGACGGTATGATTTTTAAAAATATAACAATTCAGTAGATGCTGCTGAAATCCACTCATTGTTCCTAATTTATACGTTTCAGTACGCGGTCATCAACTGTCCATAGGTAAATGCAGATTACTGATTGTCTTCCCTTAAAACTTGATTTTTAAAATTTCTTGCTTTTTGTCCACTAATTCGTCCTCTTCAGATCAAGTTGCTCCTTATCCTTCCAACTACCGTTACTGCCACCACTAGATAGTTCCATCTCGCTGTGTTGATATAACTTAAGAGCTTTAATCTATGCACAGATTTGTTAGGTTCCCTGTTACTTATGACTGATTTAAGTTGTATAACAGCGATTTAGTAGTCAAAGTGTCCAACTGTCATCCTCTGTGTCTCAGGTTCGAGATTCGCCCCACCCACTTGGATTCGCGTAACCGGATAGTATCATTAGCCCTCATATTTGAAGTGTGGCTCATATAAAAGTATTTGGAGAGTTAGTCACTTTAACCTTGTAATTAATTTCCCGACCGTTGTTGCTACCTTGACGTGGTGGTCGGGCTTGCCTATCGTGATGAAGCAACCGAGCTATACTGGCTGGAACAACCGTTCCTCAAGGTCCTACCATGTCAGACAGGTCGGTTGAAGAGCGGTAAGACTAAAAGCAACAAACCCAAGGTCCGAAGGCGAAGTCGTCCGATACCAACCCATTAGGGCTGATCAGACTTCCAAAATAAGTGAAGTTGTCGACGCGTTCGACTACCTCGCTCCCTATCCTTAGTTCAGGTGTTGACTCAGACCAGTCCTGAAGCAACAACTCGCATTTAGAGGGAGAGAAGCGCATCCCAAACATTCTGGCGTTGTTGTTTAGTGCTACCAGAAGACTGCATTTTGTCAGCGTCTTCACCAAACAGTGGACCTCCTGAAAGGAGATCAATAACCGAGAATTCAGTCGACGAGAATGTTATTTCCATCAATAGGTCTATGATGAAGTTAAACAAAAATAGAGAAAGTGGACAGCCTTGACGGACACCACCTGAGGTTGCAAAAGTAGATGACAGTTCGCCATAAGCCCTGACTCGACTGGTAGTTTTCGAGTAAAGAGCCTTTACAAGGTTTATGTACTTCTGAGGTACGCCTTTCAATGACTAATTAAACTTGTGTTACATGAATCATTGGTTATAAACGTTTTGGTCGTTGGGTATTCTGATATGTCCTCATCCCATAAATATCTTCAAATTTGGCCAGAAACTTCAATACTGCAAAACGATCCTCCGAAAACTGATGTTTGAAATAGTTTGTGATCGAACAATCGGTAGCTGTTTTTTCGGTTTACTTAAGAAAGCCCGTATTCATTTAGTTTTTATTCTATTTACTAACTAGCGAAAATCTGGGTTTGTACCTGGAATTTTATTTATTTACTCTACACAAATACTGAAACAACTGGTCACCGAAATAAATATTTGCCTTAAAAAATAATGCGTTGAAATTACGAAGAAATATCGTGAACAAGAATAATAGGAGACAATTCAGCTAAAAATACGACCAAAATCCCATTTAGGCGATTTTTTACTTTTTGTGAGTGCGAAAACTACAACCACTGTGGTCTATTCTGAGCCATTTGTGATAGTGTCTCAAGCCACTGGATCGCACTTCCTCTGGGATGCCAACTCTAGACTTATGATGGATCAGTAAATCCTAGTCTCAAACATCTTCCTTTCACATAACAGCGGCACGTCATAAATTGATCACTGCTTTTTCCACACCATATCGCCGACAAGTAAAGCACGATGTTGAAGTCGCCGAGATAATAACTATAAAATATATCCAAGCTAGTAAAGCGGATGTTTCAAGATGACAACTGAATTATCGTCATTGCGCCCGAACACATTGTCAAATCCCAGTACTACTTACATCGAATTCCAACAGGATGTTAAGAATACTTTGAAGACAGATGATGGGACACATTTTCGGTTTATGGAACTATTGATTAACCACAATTTCAACGATTTTTAACTTATAGACTGCTACTGATTCGTAAGAATTTCCTGGCACGATTTAAATTTTCACTTGATAATAGAATTTCGTTTCAAATTCATCAGGAAGTTTCTTTTGTCTTGATGGACTTTTGTTCTCTGAGCAGCTCTACCTAAGCTACAAATCTCCATCTTAGTTTCTTTTATCACATTTTTTAGACATTGATTACTAACTAATCACCTAAAGCACTCTCCGAACAAGAATGGAACGGTTATTCTCCGAGTCCGTAGATTGTTTCTAACTGATTCAAGGCAACGCATATTTTTACGTCTGCTTGTATGTGTCCGAGTTGTCACATAAGCAGATTGAGACATTGAAATGGTAATCAGCAAAGAATCGCAAGTGTAATAAAAAACTAGAGAAACAAAGTGTTCGGAGAATAGGATGTAATGTTCAAAATTTAAATGAATGCGGGAGTCTATACCACTGCAGTAGATTTAGACTCGTCAATTATGCTTTCATCATACAAATCTATACATAGTTCCACTTTTGAGCGGCATAGTGTTATCACTAGAGTTTATTAATTTAATAACAATTCAGATATACTTAGCTTTTATCGTGAATCTATCAACTTGACGTATTAAAATGAATATAAACTTCTAAGACTAAATTGCCTTTTTATGGATTTGCTTTCAGTTAAAACTCCTACTCTTCAATGTATATTGAATAAACAGAAATATGTTCATATTGATTTTTCAATAAGTTCTATTGTTTTGTTTTTCAGATATATGCTCTCAACTTACTTCACTTTATGCTTCTTTATATTTGCCCATAATGGATGGCAATTTGTCAGTTTTGTATCCAGATTGTAATATTCTCCCATTTGACTCTGTTGATGATAATCTGATGAACTATCCTAGGTCGTATTCCAATAGCTGTGGTCTAACATCAAGCGCATATCTGAATGAATTCCAAAACGTAAATGATGATTCACAAGATTTCACACAGAAACACATGTCTGGTAGAAAAACGTTCACGTGTCCTAAGTGCAACAGTTTTTATTCTAAAGACAACAACTGGTGCTCCAGCTGCGGAGAGCTACTTATTGGCGCGGAAGTATGTTCTCCAGGTGAACCAAAATTCATTTCAAATGAAGTTTCAACGACACAGACTAATATGATGGATTCGATTAACCCTTTATCTAATATTTCTTCAAGTGTGCCCATTAGTTTCAATATGTCTTGTGAGAATGCTACACACTCGCCCAATTTAGTTGCTTATCCATGTCATCCAATATTACCCGTCGCTACAGATGTAGCGTTTTCTTTACCATCTTGTTTAACGTCAGCATTCTCACCAGGAAATCTAAATGCACAGAATTCAGAGTGGAGCAATTCATCATTCTCACCATCAAAGCAGTTTGATCAATTATGTCATAACAAAGCAAACATTCCTTTTTGTGTACCGGTTGACCCTTCATTTTCGAGATATAAAAACTTTGGGATTTTGCAGAATGCCTCCGCTGACCAAAAACAGTATCAAGTTGTAAATAATAACGAATACACTGATCCTAGCAACTTCAAATTGTTGTATCCTAAAGAAAATGGTTTTACTCAATCCATACTATGGAATTCTAAACATTTTAATGATGATAAAAGTTGCAGTCAGTTTTCTCATCTACTTACCAATGTTTCTGATTATCATCATCGTCGTACATCTGGTCCAGGTATGCAGAATAAATTAACAAATGATCATAGTAGCTTGGAAAATGTATATCATGCTAACAGTATTCCTTCCAGTTATCATCTGACTACCAATACTTCACCAATGAATTTATTGATAAACACTTCCCAAGGCCAGTATACATTTTCAGATAATTGGTGGAATAATTCTTCAGCGTCACAGATTGTAGCCGACCTTTTGAGGGAGACACAAATTTCGGTTTCAGCTAACACTAATATTCCTCCTAAGTCAGCATTATACCAGCCATGGCAATACCGAGAAATGATTCCCTCAGCCAGTAAAAGTCCTTCAGCATCACGCAAAGGTGTTCGCATGCGTGGTGGATATTGTCGTCGTAAACACCCATCTGAATGTTCCAGAACTCAGCTTAATAATCCTACTTCTATTCAAAATCCAGCCATCTGTCGTGCCCGTAGTTTTAGTTCAGATTTTGAAGATAATAATAACGGTGGTACTCATTCATCAAAATTGCAACCCAATCCTAATTGGCAGTCATCTAGAACAGCCTGGTCGGCACATGATCCTGCAGTATTAAAAAAGAAGTAAGTTAAATCACATTATTTAGTGTTTACATTCACAATAATTTTGCCATTATCTTTATAATATTAGAATAACTTATCCTCCAGATCAAATCATGATTTAGAAACAAGTTTATTGTAAAGTATTTCACTTTTAAAATAGGTTTTTTACTGTTTCTGCTCCTAGTGTTATGAGTGCTTGGCTATTTGTCTACATGGATAAATTATTTTTGGTGGTCTGAAACTTTTGAGTTTTTGAGTCAGTTAAGCTTACTCGTACCTTAGGTTATGTGATTTTTAAAAGCACGAATTCATACACTACTAAAAATATGGGCTTTTTTTACTAGTTGTCAATCACTTATTATTCTCAGTAGTTATGAAATTACAATTAATATTTATTGAAAACATTCGTTTTACCCTCTAGTTATAATATCTCAGCGATACAGCTTGATGAGGACTTACTTTGGAACTCTGCTTTGATACTAATGCCCGTCTCAGTGCAAATGAGAATTTATTGCCAGAAGTTCAGAAATTAACTTGACCTTTTTCAGTATTTACGTTGTTATTTCCATCCCATCGTGCTCATTTGTTATGACAACTTTGGGCGTCTCACATCTATGACAGGCTCTTCTGATAATTACTGACTGACTGAAGGCCTTGTGGGTAACCCACAAAGTTTCTTGAAGGAATATATACATGTGGTGAACAGAAAGGAGTGATATCGACGGTTGATTAGGTTACCACTCTTCTTGAAGCGAAGTTTTGGAGATATAATTATTTATTTGAACACATAAATATCGGTGCAAAGGGGCACCAGATACATATGCGCCACACAAGTCACATTTTTGTATGGGCTGTGATACTACCGAGGTGCCCAGACCGAAGCAAGTGGTTTTCTTAGGGGACACACTGAGAGCCTTCGACCTGAAGGTCTGATCCACAAGGCAGTGGGGAAACGTCAGGAGATACAGTCTTATGGTAGCCAGTGACCAGTAATCGGTTCATACGCCATTTGTTCCCTCAAGATCCTGGAATCCATGTGTACCGTTGGTTTGCAACCAAGGTCTTTCAACTCCCTTATGTGGATCCTCCGCATCCACCAACCCAGTTAAAGCGCCGGACATTCACTTTTCGTAAACAACACCTACGACGTGAGAATACACTGAGTAGGACTTCCCTGGCAGTGGCTGTATATGCGTAGCCATGTGAGAGCATTTCGAGAGGGAGAGCGACCCCTCTCCACCCTCAGCCGTACCAGGAAATCTGGGAGATATGAGTAGTAATGTACTACGAGATAGATCAAAGCAGCAAAGAGGACTTTCTACGCACCTAATATCTATCTGCCATTTTCCAGCCGACCTATGGTGGTTATTCAATTATAAGCCATCTGGTTATGCATGCCACATCTATGTGTATCTACGAATTCAACTGTTCCTGCATAGTAATCTATATTGGAGAAAGAATATGACCGAGACAATACGGGGCTCCGTTCTATCAAATTTTTTTGGATAGCGATTTAGTAGTGGATAGGAATAAATCGTTTAGTCATTATCGGATACGTACTACTTATGTTTATCGACCTCGTCTCTTCCATTGATCGGAAAGTGTAGGGATTTGTTTGTATTCATAAGAAATTTGTAACTTATCTCTTTCATGACCGAATCAGGTTTAGAAAGTAATCTTACTTATGATTTATTATTATTACTATTTATTATTTGAACACATAAATATTAGTATAAAGGGGCACCGAATACATATGCGCTACACAAGTCACTTGATTTTTATGTGGGCTGTGATACTGCTTGGTTGCCCAGACCGTTTATTTCTCCTCACTCATTTTTCAAGTTTGTCCTCTGTCTAATTATTTGATTCCTTATTACTCAATTTTCATAATTTTTAATGAATCTTATTTCAGTGTCTATTTTTCCAAGTTGTTGACCTACTTCCGATTATAAAACAGTGATCTATTTCGTTGTTATCACTGACTTATAAACTTTATTGATTGGTTTAATATTTTTATACATCCATATAAATATTACTCTAGATCAGAGTGAAGCCTGACGAAGATCTAATAGAAAATAATATCGTTTACTTATATGTTAGTCCATGGGATATGGCAAATTAAACCAATGCACATCTGTATCAGGACTTTTGTCGACTGGGCGTACTTTAAAAGATCATTGTACTAGATTAAGTACTTACACCTCATTTCTCAATGTTGTAACGTGCAATAAAAATTAGAGTATCATATAGTGTTAGATTTACCAGTCTCGTTTATTGGTGTGTGATGCATCCCACAATCTGTCATACTCTCAAGGAACATTAGATGAAAGAGATGGAAGTAAGAAATATCTCTCCATAATTATAAAAACCCAATTACAGTAAAACCAAATAATTTGCGAAAAATTAGCGGTTGATGTGCATCTGGTTCTATAAATTACTTATTAAGATCACGATTGTACTAGTTATATTTCGAGTGTCGTAGAAATTGAAAGTCGATCCAAAAAAACGTAGCATATTTGTGCACTATGTATTTCAAGCCTTCGGATCAAATATCTTTATATATAAATTTAAGAAGGTCAAGTAAATATAAAGTATACATTACCAAGTATATATTCACTTCAAATTATGATCCCTTGAACTTGTTCTTCTAATATCTTCATTAAATTTTATTGAAATAGATATTCATACACATTAGTAATTTTAAAAGCGCATTAATTTGGCTCATTTATTTTAGACCTGCTGCATATCTAAGAGCATCATATAGTCAAGGAAATGTTGCTTCTGTTCAGCTTGAATGTAATACTAATATGTAAGTTTTCAAACATCTATTTTAATGTTACGAATTCTTATATACTAAACAATATTGATTATTTATTTAACACATAGATATTGGTACAAGAAGGCACCAAATACATATGCGCCACACAAATCTCATTTGATGATATGTGTATATTGTTTTTTTTTGTGAACAAACAATATTGAAGTCATTTACATAGAACCAATTTTTATATTTCTCTTCGAAGTAGCCTACATCGTTCATTTTAAATATCCGCATTTATTTTCCAGTTCTAATCAACTCAAAACTGTTTTCTTACATTTTGTCACATTCATTCAGTCATGTGAATAGGCCAAAATCTGTGCATTTTAGTTTGTTTTATCTTGCCTCATTACTAGTGAATATAGAAATAACTGCATGTGGCTAGTCACCAATAGTCTCTCTATATGTTGTAGTGTTTTTGAGAGACAATACTCCATTTTTTCTCGTGTAATCCCAAAAGAAGTAGAAAACATATTACTATTATTTGTTCATAGATATCTCCGAAGCATTGTTCGTGTTTAGTGAAACCATCGAGTGAGTAGTGCTAAAGTTAGACTTAGTGCACTAAATACAGATGATCTGTTGATGGATAAGGATTTCTCAAAGCTTAAAAGAAAAGCTTTGATATATAAGGATTCTGAAGTCTAATTAGGTTGGTGTATGTGTAGGTGACAGTTCAGATTGTATTTTGGCCCGATTATACAATTTTATTCACAACCCTTACGGTAATTGCTAAGACGACTATGAAAATTAATGCACTACCGTTTTTCCTTGAATATCAACAAATGTCTTGTCCTTACTTGCAGCAAACTAAATTCAAACAGTCAACCAGACAAATCTCAGCAGTCACCTCTTCCGTGTTCAAACAGTAAGTCATGTAGTCAAAAGGTCAAATCGAACAACACTACTGGATCATCTCCAGACAATCGTTCAGAATGGAATGATACACATGCCAAGTCAAATCGTTGTCATCATCACCCACCAAGACGTAATCGTCGTTATATATCGAAGAGCCTTAGTGTTTGCATGGATGGTACAACAACAAACAGTCCAGTCGCTAGTATACTGAAAGAGGTATTATTTTATGATTAAAATAAAAGAGATTGCCTTAGATCTCGATAAATGTTTCTTACCTATTTACATCTAGTGATATGCTTTCTTATGGTTTCTAAAACTTTATTTTCTTAAATAAATATCCACTAAATGAAATACATCAAATAACCACTTAAAATATATAGGTGATGTAATTGTGAACGACCTCACAGTTTAGCCAACCAGGTAGTATCATTAGGTGATAGTAAACCATAATTATTTGAGTCTTACCAGTGATTATATCACTCAGATCTTTACGTAAAGTCAGTTTTATAAACATGAACATAATCGTTTAGTTACAAATTGGGACTCCTCAACAGTACATATTTATTGTGCCATCAGTTTTTGAACCCACATTCTGTGGCTTCATTGGTTCTCTTGCTGATGTTATTCCGTAACAGAAACCATCTTATCACAGTAAAAATCCTCACAACCTACTTAATTAAATAAACATAATTAGTCTCCTACCGTTTAACTTCCAAAATGTATTTAATTCCGTCAATAGAGATATATTATAGCTGTATCTGTCATTAAAAATGCTTATTCAGAAGTATGCCTTGAAACTTCAAGTTTTACGGCAATCTGCATAGATTTTTCCTGTGTCGAAGATTGTTCAATTTGACTTGTAAAGTAAATCTATAACCACTTTTATTTGTCAACCTTTATTCAGGGAATTCCAACAGATGTTCATACTAATAAAATTAGCGAACCTAAAAATGAGTTTATTACATCAAACTGGCTACTGTTGCCCGATGAATTATGGCTTGAAGTACTACGATATTTAAGTCCAGTAGATCGTGTACGGGTTGCTCAAACTTGTCGACATTTGTCCAGACTTTCAATGGATCGTTCATTATGGCGAGTCATTCATCTTCACCGACAACATCATTTGACTGATGCAGATTTAGTGAGAATTGGAAATCTTAAACCGAAAGAATTACGTTTCACTTATTGTCGTGGTGACAGCCTAACGGCTACAGGTGAGTGTGTGATGTATATGTTGACTTTCAGTTTGTCCTGTTAATCGTTCTTTGATTTCACGCCTTTTCATAACGAACATGTTTATTAATTACCCTGATATCTGCCTCTATTTCCCGATACAACATATTTTCGGGTCTTTTTTCCCTTCGCCTTCAAGATTCCAAGTTAGGGCTTGCCTCGTGATCCAGTTTGATGATTTTCGCAATATATGTCCAGCGTCTTTTCTTAATTTCTTTTTCAGTTGGAAGCTGTTTTTTTCTCTGCCACAGTAGGTTGTTGTTGATAGTATCCGTACAACGGACATTGAGTATTTTGCGTAGACGATGGTTTGTAAATACTTTTACTTTTTGATGATGGTTGTAGTAGTTCCTTACGTTCCAGCTTCGTGTAGTAGAACTGTATAAAATTTATGTATTCAAAATTTATTCTCGTATTTGACCTATTTACTGTGTTATTCTCTGACGTGAATTATATACGAGGGTTAGTGGCATGTATCTTTCGTTAACATCATACGATCTATCATGTGTCACGTCAAATAATAAGCCCATGCGATTGTCTAAGATGTGGTCCCCCTTTTCTAAGGAATAAGGTCGGTCAGTCAACCCATTGCTACCCTTTAAATTTCCAAGATCTAACATAATGGTTTTATCAATTTGACTCTATACTTCATAATATCCTAACATATGACTTTAATTTTGTGATATGTATGAGATTTGACTTAAAATTGTCTAGATATCACTAGGGCTTGAATAATGGTCTTATTAATAGTAGATTCAAAAAGAAAGTGTGATTATTTCTACTGTCTTGTTTATTTATTTCTCTTAAAAGTACAGTTTTATGTAATTGAAATATTATTCTACATACATACGAAGACGTGTTTGTAATATTTTCTTTTCTTCACCACACTAGGATTAAAACGCATGTTTCTTGTCTGTGGTCCAGGATTACAAAAACTGTCATTAATCGGTTGTACTAAAGGACCATTTGATCAAGATCTACCATTGAGAATAGTTGCTGATCATTGTCATAATTTACAACATGTGAATGCAAGTTATACTCAATCAGTACGTGATCAAACTGTGATTGCTCTAGCTAAATCTGCCACGCATTTAATTAGTGTAAAATTGAATGGCGCCCAACAGATAAGTAATGCTGCTATACAACAATTGGTTCATTATCATCAAAATACTCTTGTAAGTAAATAAGGACAGTAGGAAAAATTTGTAAATGATTTATCTATTTATTTATTTAGAAAGTAGTAATTCATTTTGTTTCTATTTCAATCTTTAACAAATCAGTCGATAATTAGATGAAAATATTAATGCAATGGAAGGATCTGTTAATCTAGCTATTCGATCATACAAGTGATGAAAACCATAGCCCACTTACTTTGACTCAGCCGGCTTTATGGTGTCCCTTCTTTTGCAGCAATAACTGCACTGTAAAAACCTGCAGTCAGTCAGTCAGTAATAACGTAGAACTTCGTACGTACGTACATCAGTTCGAGTTGCCACACCACATAAGCACAGAGATGCAGTTGTCGATTCAAATCCCGTAGTGGTAGAGGTAATAAGAGTATAAGCAGTAATCGGGAAGATTAGGGTTTGGAGATGTTATTTAAAGAGTATAATCCAGTGAAATAAATTTGGAAAGAGGAAAAAAGGGACATGAAGAATTCAGAAGATTAGAATTTGGGAGAACACAGAGAGTGGATGCACCTGCGCCATTGCAAACGATTTTGAGCCATGTCATTCAGGGTCTCTAACCATCGGTTGCTATCATCTCGCGGTCCCCAACCAGGTAGTCTGCACCTACCAACATGACTCAGTCCACTTGTCAGTGACTTCATGGACTTGTGCCATGTTTTGGTCTGGCCCCCCCTAGCTTTCTTCCAACCTACTCCTATACCACTGAACATAGCACGTCGAGGCAGTCGGTGGTTGGGCATACGTAACACATGTCCCAGCTATCACAACTGGAGTTTCACTACTTCATCAATTGATTTGCCATCCTTACCTAGTACCCGTCTCCTGACAACTGTATTACTTACTCGATGGTACCAGGATATACGAGCAATATTTCGAAGACACCTATGATGGAATACTAATAACCTACGAATATCTTCTACGCTTACCCGGCCATGTTGCACTGCCATGAACTAGGACGGAACGAACTGCTGCGCAGTAAACCCGTCCTTTGGTTGATAGACGGGTATCTTGCCTACGCCATAAATGACACAAGTTGGCGAGAGGTAGTCAAGCCTTCTGTATCCGTGCTGAGATTTCGTCACAAACCAGACCACAAGGGCTGATGAGACTTCCAAGATAAGTGAAGCGGTCGACACACTCAACTACTTCACTCCCTATCACTAGTTCGGGTGTCGATGTAACCCAATCCTGAAGCAACATTTTGCATTTCGAGGGAGAGAATCGCATCCCGAACATGCTTGCATTGTTGCTTAGAGTGGTCAGAAGACTGCATTTTGTCAGCGTCTTCACCAAATAAAACTATGTCATCTGCATATTCTAAGTCAACAAGTGAACCTCCCGGTAGAAGTTCAACCCCTGGAAATTTAGATGAGGAGAGTGTTATCTCTAAAAGTACGTCGACCACAAAGTTGAACAAGAATGGGGAGAGTGGACAGCCCTGACGAACACCACTTGACGTAACCAATTCTGATGACAGTTCGCCATAAGCTCTCACTCTACCAGTTGTGTTCGAGTAGAGAGCCTTTATAAGGTTAATGTACTTCTTTGGTACTCCTTTCAGTGACAAACACTGCCATAGAACCTCACGATCAACAGAGTCGAATGCCGCCTTAAGGTCGAGAAATACTACCATTGTGGGGCGTCTGAATGTGTATCTGTGTTCCAGAACCTGACGTAGTGTGAATATCTGATCTATACAACCACGTCCAGGTCGAAAACCGGCCTGGTTTTCTCTAATCTGCTCTTCACGAGCTTTGATTAGGCGTCGAAGTATTATTGAGGCTAGTATTTTAGACACTATATTAGTCAAACTGATTCCTCTGTGATTGTCACAGGAGGACTTTTGTCCTTTCTTATAGACTGGCACAATCAGTGATTGAGACCAGTCAGATGGGATTACGTCCAGTTCCCAAATTCTACCTAAGACCTCGGTTAATCTCATTGCTAATACTGGACCACCATCCTTAAAATCTCAGGAGTAAACCTGTCAGGGCCTGCTGCTCTCCCTCGTTTCAGATTTCCTATGGCTTTTTCAACTTCGTAAAGGGACGGAGGACCTACATTAATTTGCCATTCAGGTTGACTAGAGATCGTGGGAAACCGAAGTGTGGCTGAAGGCCAGTTGAACTGACCCCTAAAGTGTTCTGCCCATCGATCCAATCTCCTGGATTGAGAATGAATAATATGTCCATCTTTCTCTGAGATTGTTTCGCTAACGGTCGGGTTCCTAATTCCGGTTTCCTTAACGAGTCTGAACAATTGTCTGCTATTACCTAATGCCGCTGCCTTTTCCATCTCTCTTGCTTTCGCTACCCACCACTGTTCGCGATCATTGCGTAGACTTTTTGTCAGCTTGCGCTTAAGCTAACTCCGATCTTCATTATGTTCAGAGCCAGGTGGAATGAGTTTCCGAGCGTCTATCAGTGCGATAGATGCTGCTGAGATCCAGTGTTGCTCCCTAACCTTCTGGTTTACCTTACTAGCAGATATCACTGCTGTTTCCACAGCTTTTCGGATATCATTCCATGCTGCCTCAGGGTGGGCATCACATACATGGCTGCCTAACTGTTTTCCTAGTTGTTCCTGAAATATACTCTTAGCTTGACTATCATTAAGTAGGGCCCTAAGAGGTTTCCTTGCAGCGTCTTTCCTACGTCCAGTAAGACGCAAGCAAATACGCGCTCGCACTAGAGCATGATCTGAATCTAGGCATGTGCTCCAGAATGAGCGACAGTCTTCTATCGAGCCCCTCCATCGGTGGCTGATAGCGCTGTGATCTATTTGGGTCCAACGTTGGGACGAATTAGGGGGCCGCCATGTTAAAAGATGTTTTTCCTTATGCTTAAAGTTAGTATTTGCAAGGAACAGGCGGTTATCCGAGCATAGCTGCAACAGACGGTCGCCATTATCTGTTCTTTGAGACACGACACCATAAGATCCACCTAGGTGTCTTTCCCTATCGCTTAGTTTACCTACTTGAGCATTAAAGTCACCGGCCACTATTACTACATCCGAGCGCTTAGCTTTTCGGAGAAGGTCCGAAAGCTTTCTGTAAAACTCATCTTTTACATCATCTGAGCTGCAGTCAGTGGGAGAATAGGCAGAGACGACGAAGAGGCAACGACGAGTGTCCCTATCTTTTCGGATCCTTATTGTTCCATTCAGTCGGACAGCACACAAACGACCGTCTACTGGGATCCACTCTAAGAGAGCTAGTTCTGCCCTAGGACTCAATGCTATACCTACGCCGGCGAGGCCACGGGAAGCACAATCAGGGCTTCCAGACACACGAAGCGTAAATCGAGTCGGTTCTTTATTTTGGCATGGTGAGGTCAAATGAATGACGCTACTTGGATCCTGTATGCGCGTTTCGGAGACTCAGCACAAATCGATGGCGCGAGATTCTAAAGTCCTAGCTAAGGAAGCCTGCTGTCCTATTTGGCAAAGTGTTCGTACGTTAAAAGCTCCTACGTGTAGTTTAGAGCGTGGTTTCAGGAGACCAGGAATGGCGTTCCACGTACTCGAATCGTTTGCTCTAGCGGTGCGAGGTGATAAAGAGACGTGAGGAGGGTTAGTCATGGAGATAAGAGAGGTATTAGGAGGTGTAGGAAAGATTTGAATGTGACCAACTTGGTCTCGTGTGCTGTTACGGGTATGAGGGCTGGTGTCACTTCCCGGCTGCCCACACCGTGGAAGGGTATTTCTTGAGGAACCTGAAAAGGAAATTGGATTAGTGTTGGTCTTAACGACCTGGGAGCGTGACCGCAGAGCCCAAGGGACAACTGCTTGAGGCCGGTCGCGCACGGCCTTTTCGTGGGAGGTTTTTGACGTGTTAGCTCCGTTCTTCAAAGGGCCTTACCGCCGGAGACGGAGATCCGTGAGGTAAGGTGAGGTGTGACATTTTTAGGGTCGACCTTTTCTAACCCCACCCCTCCTTGTGGGAAGGCAGCATCGCTGTCATGCTGGTTGTCCGAGGGAAACACCTTACTGCTGTCACACCTCTGTACAGTCAGCAGTACGACTTCGCCCTCAGACCTTGAGTTGCTGCTTTTAGTCTTACCGTTCACCAATCGACCTGCCTGGCATGGTAGAACCTACAGGAACATATGTTCCAGCCAATATAGCTCGGTTGGGTCATCACGATAGGCAAGCACGACCACCGCGTCAAGGTAGCAGCTTCGGTCGGGGTAAAAAAAAACCTGCACCTTGTTATTGAATTGCATTAAATGGTGGAACAGCAACTTGGTAGTTAAAACATTCGACTTGCAACTACTGGATTTCAAGTTCAGACCTCACTTTACACATCTCAACCTAAACAACCAATTAGTATCACTGGGCCTCGTATATAAATAGTAACTAAATTTTGGGCGCAAGATCTTGTGCTCTGTTTTCGAATCACATTATTAATGGCTTTATTGAGTTAAATAGAAAGCTTATGCAATTGTTGTTTAAATGCAGTCAGTTAGACTTGTGACCATCGTCACTGGCTACCATAGGATTTTACCTCCTGACGTTGCTCCACTACCTTGTGAATGAAACTTCTAGGTCAAAAGCTTGGATCGTGCCCCTAAGAAAACCACCTGCTTCGGCTTGGGCACCCAAGCAGTATTCCAGCCTTCACACAAACCGGACTATGAATTGCGATGCATATCTATTCGGTGCCTACTTGTGCCCATGTTTATGTGTTTTAATAAAATAAAATTGGTAAACTATCCAATTACTCAGATTAAAAAATAACCAGATTGTGTGACATATAGGACCAAGTATAACGTGACACATTGTCATCTGAGTTAAGAACAGTGTAACTTGATCCAGTTCTTTTTCAGTATCGGATTAATATTTTAACTACAATCACCATATATATTAGTTATAACTAGTAGGTGTCTTGAGTCATACAGTTCAGTTTATCTAATAGTACAAAAGTGTCCCATCTTCACTACATATCTGCATCATTTTTAGTTATTTGTTTGTATAAAAGTATCTTTACGGATATTCGCTGTTCTACATGAACTCTAAATTTCAAATATGACATTAGTCTTCACAATATCTATATACAATCATCTATAGTATATTACGATTGTGATTGAACTAGGAATGAAATATTTCACAAACAAAGACAAACTTATGGCGAAAGTCCGGTGTACAATTAAGATCACATGCTTCCTTCAATAAAATCGAGTATCTTTGATGAAAACTAACTGTTGTGAATTAGTTTTTGCTATGAAAACTCGTAATAGGACTGCATCACTGCGAAAGACTAGAGTTTTGTTTAATTAGTTTAAATATTCTACTTTTAGCTAATTAGTTACTATTTTGAAGTCATCTAATTAGTATAATTATCTGTCAGCATCTGTGACAAATTAATAATATATGGACATTGATGTGGTTGTCGAGATACTCATTAGTTCATCAAGTTATTAATTGTTAGCCTTAATCTTGTGGAAAAGTGTAAACTTGGTTGGGTTCCACTTGATAATCGTAGTCTGTAGTAAAAGATACTTTTGGTTACATGACTCAATTATCGGCTACAATATTTTTTATTTATTTATTTCAACACATAAATATCGGTACAAGAGGGCACCAAATATATATGCGCCACACCATATTTGTGTGTGTGGGCTGTGATACTGCCCGGGTGCCCAGACCGAAGCAGGTGGTTTTCTTAGGGAGCCACACCCCCAGCCTTCGACCTGAAGGTCTGATCCACAAGGCAGTGGAGCATCGTAAGGAGACACAGTCCCATGGAAGCCGGTGACCGACAATTGGTTCATACGCCATTTGTTCCATCAGGATACTGGAGCCCATGTGCACCATTGGTTTTGAATCCGGTTAAAGCGCCGGACATTCGCTTTTCGTCCTCTCATTTTCGTAAACAACACCCCCACCACGAGAAGGCAGTGAGTAGGACTTCCCTGGCAGAGGCTATGTACGCGTGGCCGTGTGAGAGTATTTCGAGAGGTAGGGCGAACCCACCCCACTCTCGGCCGTACCAGGGCATTTGGGGGCATCGGCTACAATAGCGAAGGTATGTATTAACTGGTTATCTTTCACCTTGGATTTTGACTTCTAACATTTTTTAAAATGCATTTTATGTCTTCCGTAATGTTGCATGATAATTAGTTTTGTGTGGCGAATGTGATTGGTAAAATCTCTTTAGGTGTCTTTGAAGCATTGCTCGTATATCCTGTGACCACCGAGTAAGTAATGCAGTTGTTAGGAAACGGGTACTAGGTAAGGATGGCGAATCAATTGATGAAGTAGTAAAACTTCACCACTTGAGATGGCTGGGACATGTGTCACGTATGCCCAACCACCGACGTGCGATGTTTGATGGTGTAGGAGTAAGTTGGAAGAAGGGTAGTGGCGTCCAGATCAAAACATGGCACAAATTCATGAAGTGACTGAAAAGTGGACTGAGCCATGTTGGTAGGTGTACACTATCTGGTTCCGGGGATCTGCGAGACGATAGCAACCGATGGTTAGATATTTTGAATGACATGGCTCAAGATCGTTTGCAATGGCACAGGTTCATCCACTCTTTGTGTTCTCCTAAATTCTGATCCCCTGAATTCTTCTTGTCTCTTTTTTTTCTCTTCCCAAATTTATTTCACTAGATTATGCTTCTTGAATAACATCTTCAAACCCTAATCTTTCCGATTACTGCTTATACTCTTACTAACTCTACCACTAGGGGATTTGAATAGACAATTGTATCTCCGTGCTAATGTGGTATGGCAACTCGAACTGACGTACGTACATACAAAGTTCTACGTTGTAACTAATTGAATGTTTAAAAACAAAAATATCAAGACATTAAAATATTGATAATAGTTCTCTATCTTTCAAAAAAGCAAACATGATTAGTTAGTTTATATGAGACAGTTTTTATTTCCATTTAATACGTTTATTATAAACAGACACACATATATATGAACAATGTGTTGTACTTGTTTATACTACTTTAAATGTCACCTATTAACGTAATATCAATGTTAGATTCTACCATCATTTAATTTAATATTTGTAGTTTTGTAAAACACATTATCACTACTTCATGTGATTTGAACATTCTTTATTGATATATAAATATTTCACTAGAATTAAATGAATCATAAACATTGTCTAAGAAGAAAAAAAACACAATATAATCCACTGTTCTAACTACAATTGTAAATATTGTTATATCCTAGTGAAGATTAAATTACGGGTAACTTCCGAGGACTATTAATGGACTAATATTCTATAAATATTCTTATTGTATAATTATTCAATAATAAGATTATGTGTATTTATATTCCTCTTATTATAAGCTTTATTTCGACTTATAATTTATTATTATACGATTTACTATCCCTAAATTATGCTCAGTTTAATAACTACTGTCTCCCACGTTCACAGCCACTTTTTTGGTTTTATTGTGTATGGTGCGTTACGGTCTGTTTGATTCATATATAAACCTAGTATGTTTGAAATATATGATTCGCATAGTGGAAGCTGGTATTGGTGTTCTGGACTCATGTGGACGAGTTAAGCGGACACAGGACTAATAAGGAAGCTAGGCTGCTCATACCTATAGAATGTCATTGGTTTGGCACGGTGCTAAGATTGTATAAGTCGTATTTTGATTGGTGGATAAATCACGTGATAACTAGCCGGACATAAAGTCATAACAAATATTACATAATAAAATTGTTCACGAATGCTTATTTATCATTGTTTTGTTTTATCATTAATGTTAATTTTGTTTTTATTGTTTGTTTGTTTTTAATTATAAAAGGAGCGTTTAGAGTTGTTTGGATGTTTTCGTTTAAATTCAAGTATATTGGCTTTATTGGGACAATGTCAAGAATTGAGAGCACTAGCATTTGGACATCTTCATCATTTATCTTCGGATGGTTTATTAGAACTTGTCAGCAAAGTAATCGAAATATGTAACGTTGTTGTATAATTATTAATTCCACTTTTGAGCCGCTCATTTCCCTCACATTAATGTACTTTAAAACTTGACCTCCACGCAACCTGATCATGTCATTAACCTTCAAAATTGAGTCTACTATGTCGTTTTGTCTTTTGAAAGGGAATAAGTGGAGGAGATTACTATATGGTAGGAGAAACAGTTCGGTGAAGAAAAATACGACCTGAAAAAATCCTTTCGGTTCCTCTCGTTTTTACGAAGAGAGTGAAACGAAATTACTGTGGGACCACTACTGGTTTCTATTCTGAGTCATGTCCGATAAAATCTCAAGCCATTGAGTTGCGCTATCTCTCGAACCCAAACAGGAGGTCATGATGAATCGATAGATCCCAGTCCTATACAGCATTCTTTCATACCCCAACACCATATCATAAATTGATCACTTCTCCGCTTTTTTCAACTACTCTCCTTGTCGAGAAATAATGCTGCACTATATGAAAGTTTATAGTAGGATATTCGTAGCATATTTCCAAGTCGCCGATGTCGGTGTTTCAAGTTAGTAGTATCAAATGGATTGTCATCACTGTACCCAAACTCACATTGCCGAACCTCTGTATTGCTAACGTAGTTCTGTCAATGAAATATTAGCACTCCTATGGATGTAACGATGATTACCTTAACTCGGGAAAGTCGGATTTTACTTGCATAAAAGAAAACTACTCTCACCGCCGCTTTGTAGATGCAAATTTTTACAGCCAGAGTAACATGATGATGGAGCCAAAGATGATCCAAATGAGCATAAACCCCTCTGACTTTACTATACATGGATATCTATCTCTGCTGACACGCCACCCCCATCACATTATGAATTTAGTTCATAGAATTTTACCTATAATATGATTATCTATTTATTTTATAAGCAATCCATATTAGTACGTTGTGACTCTAGGTTCAACCTTCGTATTCAAACTATTTGATGTAACTGTGTTTAACACTTTTACAATATACTTATTTCGACTATTTTCTGTTCACTTTATTCCAAGAGAACACTTTCAAGAACATCGTAATTTACTATGGTAACTTATAAAATAAATTCTGTTTGTAACCTGTAAGTTGTTAACAACCTCGGTTTATGGGATAAACTATTTGGAAATTTGAAGATGCTACATTCCCAATCCGTTCCCATTCAAGGATAATTCAATTATCCTATGAAAAAGACGTACATAAAAATAGTATGAGTAGTAGTACATTCCTTCGAGTAAGGCATTGACTTAGTGGTTAAAAGGAACACGTTCTTCCATCTTTCAGTCATAGATTCAAATCACACTCCACCTTTACCATCTTGATAGTTTCGTTTTGCTGTACTCATATAGTCCGGCAACTTGAACTGATGATCATATGTAGCAGGTTCTACGTCACTTATGACTGACTGCCACTGCGATTACTTTAGTTTCAACTTTTGCACTTCTCTATTACTTACACAAAAGCCCATAAATAACTCGTATCCATGAATCTCTGTTTGGTTAATGGGCCACGTCAGAAAGTTCAAGTTACCACACTTATGCACACACAAAAATGAAAAATCTTGAGTTAGCTAAAGGAGCGTTAAAATAAACTCGAAAACTGAACACCAACATGTGTCTGTGTATTTGTAATCATTTAGTGCGTTTTTACAATTGCTTTAATCAAATAGTGTTTAGTGGCAAACTAAATTTCAATCTTTAGAGTAGGTGGTAATTCCTTTTATCTTTTTTTTTCTTCTACAGCTACCTCACCTTTCTTCACTTGATCTACGAGGAACACAAACTTTCAGTGATGATAATAATCTTTCTCAGTTAGCAGCCAAATGTCCTCATTTAGAAGAAGTTGTTTTAGCTAATATGCATTCTTTAAAACGTGAAACTGGGATTGCCCAAATGTTACGCCGTTTGCCTCGTTTGCGTGTGCTCGATCTGTGTGGTCTAGCCGCCGTTGGTGATTTAACTATGGAGGTTTTAGCCACCAGTTGTCCTCAACTAGAAGAACTTGATGTCAGTTGTACTTCTGTTACCCAAAAAGGGTAAGTCAATAGAGTTAATTCTTTTACAGTTTATATATTGTTTTCAATGAAAATCCTGTCTGTAACCGGTGTTTAATATAATTAAGATATCTGTTATTTTCATCTTTACTTCACTTGTGAATCTTTGAGGTTGTTGGTAAATTTTACCAACTCTCTTATAGAACTTCTTATAATTGATTGATAAGAGATGAATAAGCTTTAAACCGCTACATGGTTATGTGCAACGATTAGCTTTTTAACGCCATTTGGAATTTAGTTTCTTCAATAGAATCGAATTCAAAGGTTTGTTTGTATGTGTTGATAATTGTGTAACTTCTCCATAGTTTATGTGGAGTTTCTTCTTTTTTTTTCGTTAATACTATTGTGAAGTTGATTGAACGTGAAAAGAAGAAAATCAAAGCATTGCTATTCTATCTAATAATATTGAGTACAAACCCGTTTTTTATAAGGTCCCAAATTTATAATGATAAACAAGTACGGATTGTTAAATGAAATAATAAAATACTGATTAATAGATTATTAGTATGAATACCATATGACTGAACAGCAACTGCTTACGAGACCAGGTTATTATTATAAACTTCCAGTGTACTGCTATCAAAAGGATAACTGGCAAGCAATTGGTCATAATACACACAGACCTTGATTGATTTAAATGTGCGTTAGTCCGTATTGCTATACCACACTATTTTGACAAGATGAATGGCAATTGATTTGCAACAATTGTATCACCAATTAACCTCTAGACCCACGTGGCCTTCATTTAATGATGTTAATATCTAAGATTAATTAATTAGAAGTGATCACTCACTCTTCGATGAATGAATATTTAAGTGCTGAGTTTAATTGGTCCGCATCATATCACAAGGTCACTAAAAAGAATAGGGAACTGAAAAAAGTTTTCTTTCTCTACCGGTAATAAATAACAGTTGGGTTTGTTATTCTGGAACGGTTTTCTCTAAGTATGCTGGAAGAGATTCTGTCTTGAATAACCGCATTTGAACATGAATTTAACTAATCATACGAATTTTAACTAGTGGGTCTTCAAATGACTATGATTTACGAATAGATTTGGTACTATTAACATTGCTATTGATTTATAGGGTCGTTTATCTAATGTTCTTTTATAAGGTCAGATTTGAACTTATTAATTACACTGGATTTTCTAAATCAACAATATCATATAGCAAAACGTTCAGCTGGGACTGTAGGTTAATCTCCAATATATCAATCACTCGTTTTTAATCAATAAGACTGTTTTGATTCTTAACCAAGTGGAAAATATTATTGCCTTTAAATATCTGACAAGTTTTTGAAATAGAATAAATTCTGCTTGTTGTAAAATAAACTCATTCAAATACTTTTGAATATCTCTGTCTCATACCACTCAATCAAATCCATTCTAACCGTTCAGATAAAATCAACATACTGAAATTAAACTAATAGATTTTCTTTACCAAGTCCCAGCTATCAAAATGGATTGGTGCTCGATCCTTAATCGAATAGATTATCGAATTCTATAAAATACAACTTATTTTTTAAAATATGTTAGCCTCATCTAAATTACTCTTACTATCCCAAATGCCCTGGTACGGCCGAGGGTAGGGAGAGTCAACTCTTCCTCTCAAAATGCTCTCACATGGCCAACGTATGCAGCCATTAACGAGGAAGTCTTACTCATAGCCTTCTTGCGTCGGGGGGGGTGTTGTTTACGAAATTGAGAGGACAAGTAGCGAGTGTCCGGCGTTTTAATTGGGTTTGTGGATATGGAAGATCCACCTAGGGCAGTTGGGAAACTCTGAGTCCAATACAGTGGTGCACATGGGCTTCAGGATCCTAAGAGAACAAACGGCAGGAACCTATTGTTGGCCACTCTCAATATGGGGCTGCATCTTGTGATGTTGCTCCACTGCTTTGTGAGTTAAACCTTCGAGTCAAAGGCTTGCGGAGTGGTCCCTTAACAAAACCACCTGTTTTGGTTTGGGCACCCGAGCAGTATCACAGTCCTCACATAAATCAATGATAACTACTACTGGCTTCATTGTTATTGTATGGCGCATATATATTTGGTGCCTTCTTGTACCAATATTTATGTGTTCAAATAAATGAATACCGCAATAAAGATGTAATCCCGATTCTTTTAAACAACGAAGTTCAAGACACATTTCTCGAATTGTTACTATTACATTTCAATCTGCCATACCACTTATCTGTTTTGGAGAAAAAAAGTGTCAGCTAATCAGTTTAGCGTTGATGTTACGACTGTACATGAATTTCTATAAGCATGTAGGCCAAATCAATAGGTTTTCTCTCAATTTTATGTGCTCATCTATTGATTAAGACACGACTGCTTACCTGTCATTCTTCAACACTGGAACTGTCTATCATCCGTAGTGCTGTAAATGTCATAACTAAAACATGTTTATAACAAACTGAATATTTAGTTGTTTTCCGACGGTGATGACGTCTCAATAAGTATTGAAATAAATTTCGGACGACTTACTACCTTCTTCAGCAAATAAACAATTTAATTGGTAAGAACCAATTAAATTATATGTTCAGTAAATACATGGTAATAAGTTGAAAGAACTTGTTACTGTTGTGTTATTTACGTCAAAAGTGTTTGTGTATGATATAATTTTAATATCTGTAAGTGTGCATCTGAGTGAATGTGTATTTTACGACATGAATACATGATTGGATTTGTACATGTGTTTATGATTTAGACTTGATCAGGTTATGTGGATGTTTGGTCAAAGCTGGTCAGATAAGAAGGACTTCATTCTTTTGTTGCATACAATAGGACTTTTTACATCATATATTGCGCTTCAACACTTTCCTTGCATCTCCAAAGTCCTTTTGGATTATTTAATTATCCTAAATATAGGTACTGATAACCGTTGAAATTCTGTTGTACAAGTTTTGTCAACTTTTTGTGTAAGATTTTCTTTCTCCGCACGTTTATTAGTTTTTCTGTTATGACAGGAATTAGAATTTTACAAGAGAACGCTTCAGTGTAAAAGTTATGCAATTTAATTAGCAAATATTGTTCTCTTTCTCTCTCTACTATCTTGTTGGACGTATGCACGTAAATACACAGTTCAGTCTAAATGTTATTTACCTGACGAACGGATATCATGTCCTGTTTTCCCTGTCTCTATACTTTTTCTTCCATACCTAATATTTACCACTAATACTGCTGATTATGTTACTACTTTTGCATTTATCTCACTGTGCTAATATTGTATGGAAATTTGAACCGATGCGATGTTCAGTAGTATAGGAGTAGGTTGGAAGAAAGCTAGTGGCTGCCAGGCCAAAACATGGCACAAGTCCATGAAGTCACTGACAAGTGGATTGAGTCATGTTGGTATGTGTAGACTACCTGGTTGGGGACCGCGAGATGATAGCAACCGATGGTTAGAGACCCTGAATGACATGGCTCAAAATCGTTTGCAATGGCGCAGGTGCGTACACTCTTTGTGTTCTCTCAAATTTTGATCTCCTTATTCCTCCCTGTCTCATTTTTTCTCTTCCCAAATTTATTTCACTGTATTATACTCCTTGAATAACATCTCCAAACCCTAATCTTCCCGATTACTGCTTATACTCTTATTACCTCTACCACTACGGGATTTGAATCGACAACTGTATCTCTGTGCTAATGTGGTGTGGCAACTCGAACTGATGTACGTACCTACGAAGTTCTACGTTGTTACTGACTGACTGACTGAACCGATGCACCTATTTGTTACATTCTATGTCGTAAATAGCCAACTGACTTTGTTTTTTGTCACTTTTCTAACTTCTCCGTACTCTTTAGCATACAACATCAGTCCTGGTGGCTGAATGTGTTAAAGTTACCTCAGCCGCCCAAGGTTCACAGCTTCATTAACTGAATTACTAGATTTATAGTGTACGTTTAATCTCGACATAACTTTCTCACGGGTTCTGCCATACACAAACGAGTAAAATAAATGTGTTAACAATCATAAGAATAGTTCAAAAATGTACTTGATCAAATCAGAAGACATCATATTATCACAGCGAAAAGATTGGCTTAGTGTTTATTCCATACACTGCTCTGTGTATGTATGATATACTTATTTATATGTCATTTTCTGAATTGTTTCATGTCATATATTGGTGTTATTAAATGAATCACTTCACTTTTTGTCTTTACATTTCCAGTTTATTCCATCTAACAAATGCTCCTGCAGTATGCTTAAAATGTTTACGAATTAGCCATTGTAGAGAAATAACCAGTGATGTACTTGAAAAGTTGATTGAAGCCTGTCCTAAGTAAGTTACAATATTAGTATTATTCCCTGCTTACATTTTAACAATAATAATAATAATAATAATAGTAAACGGGTAGGGTTAATACTATTGCTTTTCCCCAACATCCAACCTAAATTGTCATTAAGCTTAGGATGATTAAAAGATTGGATTACTACTGGTTCACAGTGATGTAAGATTAGTATATATATTAGATGGATAAATATTCTGTTTCATATAACTATGGTGATTTCTGTTTATTCAGAACAATCGTAAATGAATTCCCAATTAAACATCTACTGTATATAGGATTGCGACTGTGTTTTTTCACCATACGGTTTAATGCTTAAAAGTAACTTTTATACATGATATATATCAGTCAGTTAGCTACAACATAGGACCAGGCAAATATATGCATCGGTCCAAGTTGCCATACCTCATTAGCACAACAAGATGAACACTAAATTCATAGAAGTAGTTAATTCATTCATGGTAATATATAAAAGAAAGATTGCATATAAGGAACAAAGAATTTGTTCTTAGAAAGAAATAAAACGATTTTAATCTCAGTTTAAGGGAAGATAAAGAGTGTCTGCACTTACACTATGTGATCCATTCTGAACTGTCACCCAGAGTCTCCAACCATTGGTTACGATAGTCACACGGACCCCAACCAAGTAGTCTGCATCTACCAACATGGCTCAGACTAGAAGTTAGTGACTTCAAGGACTGGTTCCACATTTTGGTTTGGCCGCCCCTAAATTTCTCCCAACCATCCCGAACACCGGTTAGCATTGCACGTCGTGGTAATCGGTGTTCAGGCATACGTAACACGTGGCCCAACCATCTCAGTCGATGAAGATTCACAACCTCATTAACTGATTTACCATCATTCCCTAATACCCTGTATCTAACCTCACTATTATTCACCCGTTGGTCCCAGCGGATGTTGGCAATATTTCTAAGGCATCTGTGGTCAAATACTAGTAGTTTACCATAATCTTCTACCCTTAATGGCCATGTTTCGCAGCCGTAAACGTATAACAGAACAAACTGCTGCATAGTGTCCTCGTCCCTTAATTGATAGACGGATATCTCGCCTTCGCCGCAGGTAGCATGATATAATTAGAAACTTATAGCACATCTTTAATAAAATTGTCTTTTAAGAATTTATCTGAAAATGGACATTTCTGTGGTCTAAACTCAGTTAATTAAACAATCTAGATTAAATTACTATAGAAAACTGTACTAATTATTTGTAATTTTAAATCATTAACTAATTCCACTTATGTAAATGTATGTAACCTTGTAAGACTACCATGTTTATCTATCTTCTCTTTCTAGGGGCTATATATATATATATATTCACTAACTAATTTGTTTAAGTTCATTTTATATTTCACTGCATACACATTAAAATGAGAACAAGATATGTACAACCATTTAGTGGGGTTTTTTTTCAACGTCAAAAGTAAGATGAGACAAGCTCGAAACTATCAAAAAGTACTGAATTCAGTATCCAACTTTTACATTCAAGCGCTAGCTAATTAGTAACCATTACAGTTCGATGAGATTGATTTTCTTCACAAGAAATTAAGGAAGTAGTTTGAGTTTCTAGGGTCTGATAAAGACCAAAATCCTAGGTTCGAGTCCCGTGTGTGGGTTTGTAGGTGCGCACTGCTCAGGAGTCCTATACTAGGCCTTCCAGGTTTTCAATGGTGATCTAGCTTAGATCCACCCGTGATTTCAACAGTGAAAATATATAAACTCCATAATTTATCATAGGCTATTGTTTATGCGTTAGAAATAACTGGTTTTCCCGTATTCTCGATAGCTTAAAATATTTAATAATAAAATAGTGATGAGATATAGAAAAATATTAGATCAGATTTTCACAACAAAATAATTATTTCGCAATGTGTTCTTTTTAAATATGAGTTACACTTTACTGACGTAATATATAACAGGGTTTCCTGTCGACTACCTTCAACTACCATTGTTCATATCAACATAGTGCATGCGATGTCGAGTCACCCAGACTAGTGGCCATATTACAACGTAATCGATAGAATTCGATTTGTATTAAGAAGGAACTAACACACATGACATTGGTAACTACCCAATGATCAATCAATTATGAATGAATTATTCATATTCCATATTTGTAGTTATGATTTTTGTTGTAAACGTGATTTTAAAACTTACTGTCTAATACAAAACAAAGTGGAATGCATTTGTGTAATTGTAGCCTCTTATGTACCATATTGCCCAACATCTCAAACCATTGATGGCAATAATCTCACGGACTCTAGTCATGTATTGTAAACCTACTTATACTGCGCAGTTCGACTGTAGGTGATTTCATGTACTGATTCCACGTCTTCTTTCAATCTCACTCTTATACCACTCAGGAAGCATCGTACATAAATTTCAAGAAGTAAAGCAAATTTAACCACTCTACATTAATCCCATTATTATTGTTAGTATTTTTTTTTACAAAGTTTTTGTTTATTACATTACTTTTATAGATTAACATTATTGTACGCCTATGGATTTGTTTCTATTAATGATTGGGGCTTCCTTCAAAAAATACGTCCTAGTTTATTAGTGGAGAAAGGTATTTAACTCAATCAATCCATCAATTTGATGTGTATTACATATTCAATTCTATGGAGAAGTAAAATTATTAAAAAAAATAAATACCATGAAAATAGTAATGAGTGTGCAGTTAGTAAAATTACTCATCTACAAAATAAATGAGAAAAAAAAACATACTTTTTTTGACTACATTTTAATCTTATTCTATTGTGTTAAGTTACTTACTTACTTATTAACGGCTGTTACCCGTCGTGGAGAAGCATAGACCACCCACCAGGATTAATGTACTACTATTAATCATAAATTAAAAAATGGGAAAAAAAAGAACACATTAAATATCAATAAATTCACTTTCAAAAGAAGAAAAAAAGAAAGAAACGAAAGGATACGTTAATCCAGAAAGAGAATTTTTCATTTATCTTCTTTAAAATAAAATACTGTTAAAAACCTCATATACCTTGTAAATGAGTTATCTTAGTTCCGGTGAATTTCTGCACTGTTCCAATAAGTAAGTATTTTTATTCAGTTTGTTTTTCTGTGTTGTTGTTGCACTTTAATACTAATATAATAATAATACTTGTAATTATTTATTTCAGTTTGTATAGTTCAGTTGACTATCATCATCTAATCAAGTATAATTTATCACTTATTATTCAATTCATCTTTGGATAATATTTTGAATAATACAAAATTAGTTGATAATTGAATTGTATACACCTATTATATTACTGCTTACTTACTTAAATAGATAGATAGATAGATACGCATTTTTCTCCATCCCCCCCCCTTTGAATTGCTCATTTCATCATTATCATCATCTCTATAATCTTTCTACGTTTGTTTTCCCTTTTCTTCTTCTTGTTGTTGTTGTTGTTTTATTGAATTAACTAATAATGTTTTATTTGAATAACAATATTTTAATCTTATAATTGTTACCTTAATTCTTCTTTATATAGTAAACAAATTCATTTCAATTCGTATTATACACTACTTATTTGTTTATTTATTTATTTAAAACACCCCTTACATACTACTTATTTAGATTTATTGATTATTTATCTTCAATAAATTTTATTAAAAAAATTGATAACCCTGCAATCTTAATAATCAGGACGATGTGTCTATTATTGATTGATTGATTGATTGATGGTTATCATTTCATGATCCTAATTTATTGTTTGTTTGTTTGTTGACGAAAGGGTACGTCTCTATTTAAAGTTTATATTCAAGTTTAATGGAATTAAAAAAGAAAGAAATAGATTATCTAATTAATTCTAATATCAATCAACTGAACATACATACATATAGATATTTATGTATTCTTTTCTTCCATTCATTTTTAGCGGGTTTTTTGAATGATGATGATGATGATGATGATCATCATTATTATTATTATTATTATTATGATCATATAAAGAACTATTAGTTGTTGTTGAATGCACTTTGTCCAGTGAAACATTCATTCTATCAAATTGTAACAAATTTTGTTCTTTTCAATCTTTTGTTTGTTTCTCATACATTTCTTTCTTCTCTTTAGCCTGTTATACAATTCACTTGTATGTATTGTATATTTTTATTATTATTATGATAATTATGATTACTTTCATTATTATTTGGATAAATAACATGGTATCGTTAACTAAATCCATTGTATATTGTGGAAATGTTTATTGTTCATTTAAGTTTATGCTCATATTCTGTTCCATTATCGTTTTGTCTTGTTAGTACTTAACTTTCTTTTCTCTTGTATAATCGGATTGCTACAATTTCTTTTCCTACACTTATTACCTAGTGGTTACTTGTGCATCTAATTATCTATTTTTAAGTTCGTTTGTTTGCCAGCATGATTGATTAAATCCTTTCAATCACTATATACATTGTAATTAAGGCAGTATTAAACATGAAACAACCATATAAGTTTTTAGACATAAACTAATGTTATTACTTACATTGTATATCATATTGATCATTACATAATTTCAACATACATAATTATATTACTATTATCATTGTGCTTATTAGTGTTAACACATACTTATTTACTTCTTTACACATAAGTAGTTTCAGTCTTTCGGCTAATGTTTACTTATTGTCTTTACTGTTGTTCTTGTTGTTGTTTTGAAAAGAAAAAAAAACATTTAAATGGAGCGAAAAAAGGTTCCCAGTTGCAAAAAAACTAGAGAGAATTAACCTTTCAGATTGATTCTGTTCTGTTTTCTTTCTTTTTTTCTTCGGAATAACGATATTTGTTTGTGTTTTTTTCTTTCTTTCGTATTTAAAAGTTCTTTAATATGAATTAGATGGTATGATAAGTTTGTTACATAAGTTATTAAATAGTTTATCATTTATCCATAATATCCATTGGTTAAAGTTGTTGTACTTAACATCATAACAGAGTGAACTGAAAGAAACATACATGAAAATTAAGAAACTAAACATAAACTATTCACTTGGTGTTGTTTTACTTATATCTTCCGATTGATGTTTAGGTCTGCAATTGATCAGTCTCTTGTTGGCATATGTGCATCCTATGCGGACTACGTCGATATTGTTTGAAGTCAGAAATCAGTAGCTAAATGGATAATGCGATAGCATTTGAAGCAAATGGTACTGGATTCGAGTTCTAGAGTGAACATCAACACTTCGATGAAGGTACATTCAGCTGACGAGTCCCAAACAGGACGAAACTCACGACCATGATTTCACTACTAGCCACTATCTATCTTTGCTTATAAGCATGAAGTATATACACTTCAAGAGAAAACATTGGATTTATTTTCTATGATCAATTTTAGTTTACACCACTTAGGATTTTCAACGATAGCTTGTGATCAAAGCGCTAACCTTGTTTTGTTTGGGAACTATTTATATCAAATGAACATTTATTAGAGTAGTATAGTACAAATAATTTCACTGGAGTGTGATCAGTTGTCAACAGTATCATCTATCTGTTTATTGTACTCATATATTACATAAGACTAGTCATAATAATTTTGTGAATCGTTCCTAATTAGTGTACCGACCATTCTTAAATATTTGTCCGATAGCGCTTCTCTTAACTAACCCAGGTAGTAGTTCCTTATCAGAAATGTCCAATTACAAAGTACTTTATAGCGTTAATATAAATATGAAGAAAGTAAGTAGAACATTGGCTAGTGAATTTATTAAACAACTAGTGTATGGCATTTTCATACTTAACGCATAAACCTGTCACTCAGTTATATACGAAAGAATTCCTCATCGGCCTTTGTGGTCTGGTGTGCTACTAAATCTCAGCACGGATACAGAAGGCTTGACTAGCTCTCGCCAACTTGTGTCATTTATGGCGTAGGCAAGATACCCGTCTATCAACCAAAGGACGGGTTTACTGCGCAGCAGTTCGTTCCGTCCTAGTTCATGGCAGTGCAACATGGCCGGGTAAGTGTAGAAGATATTCGTAGGTTATTAGTATTCCATCATAGGTGTCTTCGAAATATTGCTCGTATATCCTGGTACCATCGAGTAAGTAATACAGTTGTCAGGAAACGGGTACTAGGTAAGGATGGCAAATCAATTGATGAAGTAGTGAAACTCCAGTTGTGATAGCTGGGACATGTGTTACGTATGCCCAACCACCGACTGCCTCGACGTGCAATGTTTTATGGTCTGGGAGTAGGTTGGAAGAAAGTGGCGGTCAGACCAAAACATGGCACAAATCCATGAAGTGGACTGAGTCATGTTGGTAGGTGTAGACTACCTGTTTCTGGGGTTCCATGAGACGATAGCAACCGATAGTTAGAGATCTTGAATGACATGGCTCAAGATCGTTTGCAATGGCACAGGTTCATCCACTCTTTGTGTTCTCCTAAATTCTAATCTCCTGAATTCTTCTTGTCCCTTTTTTTTCTCTTCCCAAATTTATTTCACTGGATTATACTCCTTGGATAACATTTTCATCTCACTGCCTTCACCTTATAACTCTTTACTATCATATAAAGTCTATTGTTTCTTTTTACATTTTCAGTTATCTAGTGTTAAAATCTCTTACGTCATCTTGGTTATTCCTTGTTCACATTTCCTCACAGAACTAGTACTTTAAAAAAAATTTCATATGTGTACGGCTGTACAGCTTGATAATAAATTCGTTGAAAAGAGATCCCTTCGCTGAACTCTGTGTTTTTAAAATTTCCGTAATATATCTGCATACTAAAAAATTACATAATATAGTTTCACTTATATTAGTCTTTCGTGTCACATAAACAAGTAAAACTCTCACAGGAATTTACAATCTAGTTAAAATACTTACTATAGTCAGACATCTCAGATGACTAAGTGGATTATCACTAAGTCGAGAACAGTCAAAGTAGATTTATTTCCATGTTGAAGGTTACCTTCTCAATAGAATAGCATCGTACTTTATTGAACGGACAATTTATCGTGTTTCGAATGATATACGACTTTTAAAATGATGAGTTGTGTCCTTCAAGCTCAGAAAAAACAAATATTTAGAAAGAATCCACATTGTTATGTGCTTACCAAGTACTGTTTATTATTAGATATACTACCAATTACACTGTTGTAAACGAGAACTCAGGTTGGAACAACCAATATATGTGATTGAATGCAAAGTTACAGAGTTCTTTCGTAAAATTGTCAAGAACTATACATTACATATTTCATTCTCAAATCTTAGATCAATTATCTCAAACTGCATTGTTTCATGATTGCTATTACAATTACTCTCTGTTCTTATTCACAATCAATCTTCTACTATCATGCATTCCACTTCTGATTAGTGTTACATACTGCTTATATCAATAAACATATGTAGCATACACCATAACACAATACACACACACTTGTGAAACCATCTTATTCCTATAAGTTACATTTTTCAATATCTAAGATCAAATAACAATTTTAACGCAGGATGTATGTTTACACTTTTTTTGCTACGGTTTACCTATACGTGTACACACGAGAATCACCTACTTAGTGCTGGTGACAATTATATGTGATTAATTATGTGGGTGTCAACAATAATCTAA